GCTTCTCCGTGTTTTGTTGCTTTGGAATGTGATTTGGAGAATTGTTTACCCAGCATGTGAAATTGTTTTTACTTGATGAGTAATGACAGCCACCTGTGGCGAGGCTGTGAGCAGTCACAAGATTTTATTATTATTATATTTATTATTATTATTTTATAATTATCATTATCATTATTACCATTATCATTATTATCATTATCATTATTATATTCTATTCATATTTTATTTATTATATTATTATATTTTATCTATTATATTTTTATTATTCTTATATTTATTATTTTCTTTTCCTTGCTAGCTTTCTAATGAAATCTTCTATTCTTTTAGTATTGTCTTAATAGATCCTTTTCTTTTAATACATATTTTATCTATATATATCTTTATATATAGATAGACTATATCTTTTAGTATAGTATTAATAGATCATTTTCTTTAAATAGATATTTTGTCTATATATATCTTCTAATCTATACATTAGAAGATATATAGATAATATATATAAATATATTATATATATAAAATATATATATAAAATATATATAGTATATATATATACTAAAAGACATGCTATATCTTTTAGCATAGTTGTAATAGATCATTTTCTTTTAATATGTCTTTTAAGCTATATATATCACAATACAAATGGTGATTTTTAATAATATATATGTATATTATATATTATATATATAATTATAGATACATTATATATATTATTATATGTATAATTGTATTATACATATTTATCTATATAATTATATATATATAATTGTGATTTTTAATATATATATATATATAATTGTGATTTCTAATATATATATATGTGAAAAGAGATTTAAAATATCTTTATATATCACATAATAATAAATCACAGGTCAAGATTCTCATCTCTTCCCTCATCCTAGGACCACCCCCCCGCCATTGGCTCCCTGGGGTTCCCTGGCTGGCCTGGCTGCCCATCCCCATCCCCATCCCCATCCCCACTCACTGTTCTCCCCGGCGTGCAGCTGCTCCCCGTTCTTGTGCCACGTGATGTTGGGAGCTGGGAGGCTGTTTTTGCTCACGCACCTGGCAATCTGTGGTGGCAGAGACGGCCGTGAGCACAGGGCAGGGCTGGCCGGCAGCCTCGCCGTCCCCTGTGCGCGTCCTCACCTCTGGGATGTCACTGCTGTGCACAGAGATGCCTCCTGCATAGGCCTTAATCTCGGGGGTGGTGGGGAGCTCTGGAAAGGGAACCCCAGGCATGTTAGGAGGGATGGGTTGGGTTAAGATTGGGATGGGATCCCCGCCAGCCCCCAGAGCAGCTGCCCAGGGGGAGTCACTCACTGTAGACGCTGAGCTCGGTGCTGTTCTCGCCCATGCCGTAGCTGCCAGCTCCAACCTGGCATATGAAGACCTTGGGGTCCTGCAGTGTCACCTCGCTGATGGACAGGGCCTTGTCCTCCCCCAGTGACAGACGCTTCCTGTAGTCGGTTTCATCCTCCAGGATGCCGTTGGCCGTGATGTGGTAGAGCCTCACCTGCCTGTTGTTGCGGTCCACCTGCAAGGTGAGGGGCAGGGCTGGCCTGGGGGCCCTGCAGGAAGCCCTGGGCTGGTTCCCCCCCTGCCCAGCAGCCAGAGCTGCTGTCCCAGGCCAGCACTCACGTAGAACCAGTCGATGTAGGTGTAGGAGGCATTCTCAGGGATGTAGAAGTTGCACTCGATCCTGGCTGTGCCCCCCAGCTCCACTTCCACCTCAGGCGGCATGGAGATCTCCAGCTTGCTGGCTGCAGCTGTGGGACAGAATTTGCTGTCAGGGGCAGGACGAATGGGGAATAACGGGCTGTACAAGTACAGCCTGTCCCCATCTCCATCCCCCAAAAGATCTGTGCCTTGTGCTCTACTCAGTGTCCCAGCAGGAATGACAGCCAGGACCTCACTGCCTTCAGCATCCCCAGGGAGCCCTTGGGCTCAGGCCAGCCATCCTGTACCCAAAGGGGGGACATGGCATGTCGTGCCCCCACCAGCTGTGTCCCCAGGACACCGTTGGGAGGCAGCACATCCCCAGCCACCACGGCCTTGGCACTCCCAGGTCCCTCCACAAGCTCGGACCCTGCCGCCCCAGCAGTGAAAGCATCCATGCCTGCAGCACTGCCAAGGCTTCTCCTGCTCCCTGCCCAGCTCTGCCCAGCTCTGCACAGGGCCCATCCCTGCACCCCACCTCCCTCCCTGCCCAGCCGCCCACAGCAGTAATGGAGCTGCTGGCCCTGCTCCAGGGAGGATGGGAAGGTAATGGCTATTGATCCAGGACAGGGCACGGAGCAGCTGCCCAAGGGGTTGGGCACAGCAGAGACCAGGGTGGCACCACAGCAAAGCTGGGAGCGTCACTGCCACCATCCCTGCCAAAGCAAAGGGGGCTCTGCATGCCCTGGGCTGGCACACGGCCCTGCAGAGGGGACAACAGCCTGTCCCCAAGCAACAGAGCCAGGCCAGGTATGGGAGCTGGGGACAAGAGGCTTGGAGGAAGCAGCTGTGTCAACATCTCCCTTGATAGCGCCCGCTCCGCAACAGCCGCCACGGGCGACTTCAAAGGGCAGCGCCGTGCCCACAAAATGCTCTTTGTTTGCAGTGGGTACGTGGTGGCACAAAGCCAAAACGCAGCCAGGAGCCCTCCTGCCACAGCAAAGGCCCCGACACGCAGGACCAACCCCTTGAGAACTCCCAACAGCCAGGGCTTGGCCCTCGCCCATCCCCTCAGCGTAGCACAGTTGGCACAAGGAGATGAGCAAATCACAGCACGGCAAAGAAGGTGCTGGAAAAACAGGTGAAAGTCCCAGAGATAAGCACGCAGCAGGGACAGGAAACTGGCTGAGAGTACAAAGAAAAAGATAACTTTGCACAGGAGGAACTGCCCGCCTGCACAGCCCCGACCTGGCTGCCTGCTGCAGGAGGGCACCTGCACAAATGGGCAACCCTGGGGCTGGGGTGTGCCCTGGCACTCGGGATTGCAGGCAGCCAGGCCAGACTTTGCCTCTCCATCATTTTCAGAGCTCGGGCAAGGGCCCCAGGCAGAGGCAGCCCCTGGAGAGCAGCCGGCCCTCCCCCTGACCCGCTCGGCATGAGAGCCCTCAACCAGGCAGCGAGCAACCGAAACCATGAGCTCACAGCTGGAGAATGGCTGGCATCCGGGGCTGGCATGAGGATCGCAGCCCTCCCAGCCATCCACTGCCCTTGAGGAGGCTGACAGGGGCTCTGCAGCCCCCACCCCGCCTGGAAAGAGGGCTCACTGCTCCCCACCTCCTCCGGGACAGGCTGGAAGAGGGACACAAGGGGACACTCACAAGGTCCCCCACAAGCCTGGTGACACAAGGCTCGCTTCTACAGCTCCAAGACCTTTTGCTATGTGCGTGGGCAGGCTAAAGAGGCGCTGGGCACAGCCAGCCTGGCACAGCAGGCTCTGAGGACTTGGCCATCCTCCCTTGTGCCTGGCACAGCTGCAGGTTCGGCGCTGGAACCTGGGCACATCCATCAGCCACGCGTGGAGCAGCCCAGCTGCAGCACCATCCCCAACCACCCCAAGTGCCTGGCACGGCTCCAGCCGGAGACCTCGGGATGTGGAGCGGCTTCTGCAGGGAGCGAGCGGGGAAGGAGGAAGGAGAGCCCCCGTGCCTTTTCCATCTGGCTGGCGGACAGCCGGCCGGCAGCCAGGGCTCCGCAAGAACAAAGATTTGCTTTTAGAGCCGGGGAAGGGGGTGGGGAGCAGCAGAGTCCCTCGCCAGCCTCCTGCAGAGCCGAGGTGTGCGGCGAGAAGGCGAGAAGTGCAGCTACACAGAGCCCCCGGCCCGGAGCGAGAGGCACCGCAGGGCGCTGGAGCCGCACATGGCATGCCTGAGCTTTCCGTGGGTTTGCGTTCCCCTCTCAGGGAAACCAGCTGCGGCCAGATCCCGCCTGCTGCCGGCACAGCCACATGTTACCCCTCCTATTCTGCACAGATCCACCAGCCGGGGTGCCCCAAAACAGCATCACCCACATCCTGTGATCCTCACAGAGAGAAGAGAGGCAGAGCCCCAGCCCCGCAGGAAGCAGCACCACCAGCAGTGCCCGACACCTCCTGACACCAGCGGCCTCCGCCCTGCCCCGGGATGGGGACAAACCAGGGCCCTGCTGCGGCCGGGACCAGCACCTTGCGCCCCAAACCAACCCCGCCACCCTGCCAGGACCTGTCATGTGCAGCTGGAGAGGCAAAACTCTCAATGCCACCCCGCAGCCGGGTGACAGCACGCAGACACCTCTCTAACAGCCAGACCGCGGGGCACAAAGGGATGGGGCGGCTCAGGCAGCGCCGGGGTGGGCTCAGCCCCCCGATCCAGCAGCTCTGGCTGGCCTGGGAATGTCTTGGCCGTGGCCCCTTGTGCTTCTGGGAAGCATCAAGCCTTTCACGTGTCTGGGCTTCCAAATGCACCGACGCCGCCAACCATTGAGAGACTCCTGGCTCGGCGCACGGGCTGTGGGAAGGGGATCCCGGCACGGGACGGGGGTGGGAGCAGCCCGCTCCAGACTCCGCTCTGAGCCTGATTTGGGTCCAGCACCTCGGCCTGGGCAGGTTCCCAGCCCCGGGGCCACCTCCGC